AAGGCTCAGCGCTGATAGGTAGTTTTCTTCCTTTGGCATCTTGGGAAAAAACTTCTGATGATATCACAGTTCCACTCCTTTTTCAGAGCTGACAACAGGTAGGAAGCAAAATCTAAAAGCATCAGAAGAGGAGTATTATTAAAATCTGCCTCCACATTTACAAACAAGTTGTGTATTTAGGTGTTTGCTAAATGCTAAAAACTTTCCGTTCCCAGCTAAACCAGGCGAATTTGTGATCACCTGGTATTTTCAGGGAGAAGTTGCTTTTAGACAACTCTGAGTACAAAACCAAGGCTTGTTCACGTGTGCACACCAAATTAAATTTAATAACGCCAGAATCAAAATCACCACTGGCACAAGTGATCAATGTCATAAGAGCTGGGAGAACTTCCAAGAGCAGGACACATGGATGGCAAAGAATTAAACTATTCTGCTGTATAAATATGGACTGAAGTGGGCATTAAGGCAAGGAAACCCTGTGCCCTGCATGACAGAACAGCTACTACTTCTAAAGGAAAGAGTAAGGAAAATTGTCTTCTCTTCATTTTTCTTCCCAGTTTTTACTTGTTTAGCCTCTCTCATTGCATATTTATGCCAATGCTACTGGGCTCTGAGTTTACTGAAGCTTCAGGCACACAAATACAGCTACAAGTTGGCAGCCAGAGTACCTATGGTGGGGACCACAGCAGTGATGGAGGAACCCCCTGTGCCACGGAGGGGTGCAGAAAAGGAAAGGATATATAGGCCCTTGCACAGGAACAAGGCAAATGCAGTCTTTGGCTGTGCATGCCTGATTTTTTTCCTTTTAAGTCTCTACAGCTGACTTGGATCTTAACTCCCAGGCATAAATCTTGCCAAATTGTTTGGCATCTTTATACACGGCACTAGGGCTTGCACAGCACATTGAGCAGAAAATATTAAGAAACATAGTATTTTGTTATGTAGCTAATGACTTACAGCTTTCACTCTCAAAGTACTCAGAAAGTTCTACTACACATGGAAAACCAGCATTAGGAATGTACACAGCACCACCAAGGCTCTGGTGCTCACCTCTAGATAAAAAGCTCAGTTTTCCTCCCCCGTCTATGGGAATACCAAACTCTAGAGCTCATTACTGACATTTCCAAAAGCACTAACTCATTCCTACAAATTTTGTGGTAGGACAGGACCTTCCTTCAATTGAACAGATTTGAAAATGGGCCGCTATATTCTGTGATTTCACAGGGCCTTACTGGAAATTTTGGGTTAATTTGAGTGGTTCAAGGGACTCCAAACATGGTGCAGAAGCCAAATCTTTCATTGCCATATTAGTGCTCCAGCCACTAGACTGTATGCTCTGTCATGGTCTGAATTAAACAGATAGACTGGCAGATTTTTCTTTTTTTTCCTTGCACTTTATTTCCTTCCTCCCTGTTTTGTTAAAAACAAAATTAAAAAGCTAAAGAGCTGTATAAGAAATTCCATCTGGCAGCTGTAGAGTAGATAGTGAACATAAAGAAGAGATTCCTTTGCTATGCCTAATGCATGCTGCTTATCCAAATTAGCCACACAATTACTTCTATCAATGCAAAACTAGTTTAATGGTTTTTTTTTCCTAGTGCACAGCACTTGAGAATGACTTAAAATGCAGTGTAATTTGCCACAGTGTATGTCCTGAAGTGGCTCACTAATGAAAAGAGGATTAACTCTCCATTATTCTGAATTACCATTTTGTGAAATCACTAACAATATTTTCATTTATATACATATAACCCAAGGGGGACAAATATTCCAGCCATCCAAGTGATTAACAAATAAAATTTATTAGATAACATGCACTTTGGTCTTATTTATGAAGAGAAAGATTAGGGTATAAAAATGCAGATGACTGGATTTTTATCATCCTTGTTCTGATAATATCCTTAAGTCCATGACAGCAGAAGTGGGGAGCCCTGGCGGTTCAGTGTGGTGTGCACAGGCTGGAGTGAGGGCAGAACCTGTGGGATGCCAGGCTCAGCAGGCACAATCCCACAGGCTTCAGCACCTCTGGGGCCCAACCGAGGTGTGCCCCACACCCAGCTCTCACCAGCCACCACAGGTGCCACAGAGAGGGAACAGGAAGGTCTCACCAGCTCACACAGCCTGCCCTTGACACAGGCCAGCAGAATGAGAGGGAAGCTGTGTTCTGGGCACAGGGAAAGGGTGGGATGAGCTACAAACTGCCCTGCCTCATTGGGAGGGAACTCCTGGCCCCAGATACCAGGCTCTGTGCCTCAGTATGCCCTGAAGTTAGGCTCAGACCTTCCTGCTGGGGAGAACCCTCTGGGACAAGGGCAGTTCCAAGCCAGCTAACTTTTCATCCTTCCCCCATGAAATAAAAAGGCTGTCCTGAAGCAGCATTTCCAGGAGCAAGCAGGGTGCAGAGTTCTTTATGCAAAGGACATACGGACAGTCCCTACACTAGAGAGCTTCTACATGATCCTGGGATTAGCTCAGCTGGTCGGAGCAAGGTGCTAATAATGCCAGGCTCACAATCTGCATGTGGGCCATTCACTTACAATGACTCTTGTGGGTCCCTTCCACCTCAGGCTACTCTGTGATCTAAGGTGTGTGTCCCCAACACAGTGCAGTGCCATGAAGTGACTGCCAAGCTAGCAGTACAGCACTGGTACATCATTCAGCCTGCACTAACTCATCTATAGCCCACATGGAGCACCACAAGGGGTGGGAGCCTGCTCCAACAAGCCTGTGCAGAGGTAACCCTGCAGTCTGGCTGCCATCTGACTGCACTGGGTGAACGCTGTGCAAGAGATGGTCTCCTCTCCAGACAAGTCTGCCAGAGAGATCTGAGCTTTCCCTGCCTGGGTTTGTGCTAAACATTCATCCCTTATACCCACAACAGCATTAAGAACAACCACACAAAAAATCCTATCTCCTTTTCACTTTTTATTCCAAGAGGGCTGGCCTAGGGAATAGTCTTCCTGGAGCTCTGTTTGGTGTATGTAGAACAACTAATATGAGATGGGGTTAGGCATCTTTGATTCCTGGGAAGATGCAAGCCCTTCTGCCCCCAACCAAATGCTTCATGGCAATTATTACTAGAGTTGAAATAGCAAACCAGCCCTTTTGCCCCCTTTTCCCTCCTCCTAGTTAAACTCTGTTACTTCTAACATAGTCTAGAGTCAAAACTGAAATACATGATTTATTAGAGGAATTTCAACTGATGCTTTCCTGTGCTCTAATTCAATTTAAAAATCCCTGCAGCAGATAACATTGGCAAGGCATAAAAGAACACAGCGTACTTGAAAGTTCAGGGAGCATGTGGCTTCCCAGGACAGACAGAAACAAGGATTTCTCAGCAGTGGTCGAGCTTTCAGAGTGTTAACCAAGCTTCAAACTGAGCTGGTGTTCCAGTACCACGAGCGATCATTTGCAGATGTAATTGCCCTGTTCTGAGGTGTAACAAATCAATGCACTGTGGCCACCAACTGTGATTACTGATTACATTGCTTTCTCTTCTTCCTTTCCTCCATCCAATGTTATGGAGCCATGAATAAAAGTAGTCAGTCCTTCAGCATCAAGGCAACAGGCTCTCAGTTATAATTCCTTACTAGACAAATAGCTGTTCTTATCAATTTCTAGATAACAGCCTAATCACTCCCAAAGTCAGACTGACTTAGATTTGTATCTCTGACAAACATTATCTACGCTGCTGAGTCTGCATGTAGAATTTGCATAATTCTGGCACAGTAAGGAAAAAGGCTCTCTTAGGGCATGGCTACTGGGGCAGATAGATGGGATTTGGTACTACACATAAACATGCAAGACAAGCGCAAGGTAAATTTACTACAAGCTGGAATTCTCAGAGCCTTTTAAAAATCTCAAGAGAGGACCACTTAGCTAAACATCATCATCATGTTTTAAGAAGCTTGGCTGAAAGATAGATCCCCTTGCCAGTGAAAGCAAGCCAATTTTTGAACAAAGGTGTACACTTGCCAATCAAAAACAGACTCCACAATCTTACACAGCTTTGGAGTAGGAAAACAGCAATCATTTGGCTTTTTCAAGCTTTATAGAGAAACAGAACATGACAGGCACAAAAGAGCCCAAACTGAGCAAACAAACCCCATGGGCACATGGGATGTCAGTGAAAAATGGACATCCTGCTTTCAGCTCTACAATAGCCACATGAAAGCATTAGCTGGATTTTTGGAATTAAAAGGACACAAACGTTCTGCAGCCCACACGAAAAAAAAAATTTTGGACCAACTACAGGATTCATTGCCTGCAAGAAAGGTGGATTTTTTTGGCAGGCTTTACTTGGACACTTCATAAGATCAAGCCCAACTCCACATCTTGTAACAAGTCTCTTACAGAACCACAAGGTTCAATTTCTCCCTTCAAGGGAATGAGATATGACCAACTGCTACTCTGAGACACCAGAGAGTCCAGAAGAAAAAATAAAAACAGAGCCCACAGGGAGATGCAGCAAACAGGGAATCTGCAGCTGGCAACATTGGAAAAAGAAGAGTAGAAGAGAGTACAACAGTACATGCAACATTCACCTGAACAGACACGTAGACGTGTCTCCTCTCCCTGTGTTGCTGAAACTCATGAAGGATGAGCCTTTAGGTGGGTCTTCATTAATGATAAAAGCCCTAGCAACTTAAATTTGCACTCAGTTCCCCTAGGTGCTTTAGATCCCTAGGCTGTTAGACCTACCAAATTCTTGCCAGTGGATTTTTCAGAAAACAAAATCCAGAGACTGAACTTCAATAATCACAAACCTTTGAGTTTTTGTTTCCTTTGCTGGTGAGCTCATCCAACAACATATTCCTCACCTCACTCTGGGAAGGCAAAAATGCAGGTGCAAGTCTGTGTTTGCCACAGAACAGGTACATCTGTCTCGAACAATGCTCAATCACACCTGGTCAGTGCTGCTCCCAGGATCCCACAGCTGGAGCAGAAGTCACTTGCTTTGTGCTTCCTTGGGTTAACACTCTGTTTTGGTTGCATTCCAGTTTCTCCACATCCTGAGAGCGCTACTTCATGGACAAGATGTCATCAGGAAGCTGGAATGCTGGGAAGAAAAATGCATATACAGCAGTCAAAGTAGATCCTGATGAGGACTATTGTACCCCAGGGGCATTTGAACTGGAGAGGCTCTTGTGGAAGGGCTGCCCAAAGTACACTCACGTCAATGAAGTCTGGCCCAACCTCTACATAGGAGATGAGTAAGTGTACACAGTATCCCCTGTGTAACAGATAAGTGTACCTGGTATATCTCCTCTACACAGGGGATGACCAAGCTCTTCTAAACACAGCTCACTGACAGAGCAAAGTGTTTGAAACCACTGACAGATGTCAGAGCCTGGCATGGCCCTGACTCTTACTGCTGCTTCAGGAAAGCACAGAGGAAGTGCAGAGTAGCTGGTTGTGGCACCAGTTCAACCTGCAGAGGTTGAAGCTCGTCATGATCTATTTTTAAATGGTTAGTTTAAGGAGCAATTTGTTTTTATCTCTGAGTGAAAGTTGTTCCACTGTTACAGAGCATGGCCTGGATGTGTTTGCCTCACCTTAGGTTGGTTCAGGCCTAAAACGTATTCTTGAAAAGTGACTGAAGGGACAGCTCACCCTGCAGTAGTATTTCTGCATTTCCAAGCCTGTGCTTGTGGACACAGAACACTCTGCATTTCCAAATTGCTCAAGAGATTAAAGCAAACAGAACCCTGAGGAAGGCAAAGCTGCAGAGATGTGTCTCACTGATCAGACCAAGTGTGATTTGGAAAAAAAACCCAAAACCACAAAACAGACTTAATCCTGCTGAGTACAGGACTGAACTAGAAGCAGTCTATTCCAAGAAGCAGAGAAGACTGCTGCAGCAAGAGACATGCCATCAGAAAATCCCCCAGCCCAAGCCCTGAGCAGAGCAAGAGAGCTTTTCTTACCCCTTTGGCATTATTGGTCCAATTCCCATTTTCCTCTGCACCCTGCACTAACATGACATCACTGTCAAAGAAAAACACAAGTAGGAGCCCCAGTGGCTCCAAAGTTCTCAATAACTTTTTAAAAGGTCCTAAAATTCATTTGTTGCCAGCTTATAAAGAGGAAAGATATACAGCTTTGAAAGTTACAAGAATCCTAATATCATCCACCAATTACTTCTGTGGCGCCAGAGGCAACAGAAAGACACAAGAATTGTGGTCTTGTACCAAGCCAAGGCTCCCACTTTTAGAGATAGGGATGGGAGAGAGAGTATGTGTGTGCGTGTGTTCTGTGGGATAAAAAATTAAACCATGGGAACAGCCTATCCAAATGATTCAGGAAGAAAAGGGGGTTGAGAGTTTTTCTCTCCACATCCTGCCCTGCCCCTCCTATTAGATATCTCTAACTCAAGATTTATCATAAAGAACAGCCTCTTCTGGCATTTGTTTCCTACTTCCTTGTTTAGAATCGCCATCAGAATTATTCTGAATTAAGCTGTTAGAATAATTTTCCTCCAATCTCTGTGATGAAGCTATAGCTGTGCCTGCTGAGCAAAGGGATGTAACCAGACAAGACGTCAGTCTCTCAGCCCAGGACAGCAGTCACTGACTCTTTCTTGTAATCTTCCTGGAGCAGTGGCTTCTTACACCTTGTAATTTAGTAAAAGCTAGAAGGCGTGACTCTGAATACACCACACACCTAGCACTTCATACAAACTAACCAGAGGAACAAAATTACCAACTTCTTGAGAGGTACCTAGAGCTATAACCTGTCAGGCTGGGCAGTGTGTTTCTGCTGAGGAGTGGTCTTAAGTCAAGAGGAAACCAGTGGTGCTTCAAGGGAAAACAAGTTGCCACCATGACAAGACAAAAGAATGAGAAAACCAATGGAGAAGGAAAAACAAATGAGGAGCAGGTTGGGGGGACCAGAAATGAAATTTCACCAGAAAATGGGACTCCCCAAAAGAGCACAACTATTGTTATCCAGGCAAGGGCAAATTTGACGTGGCAGAAAATCTGAGAGGAGAACTGGTCTGCATGCAAGATGCAGGCTTTCACTACCCTGACTAAAATTTGCTTTGAAATAAGCAAAGTCCACGGACCCTGATATCTTTCCTGGAGCCAGCTCCATATCTTACTCCTGACCAACAGCTTACCCCCTCAGTGTGGCAGGGATTTTGTATTGTTTTAAGATCTTGCTTTAGAACTGGAGGCCAAAGAGATGCCACAAGCCATGAACAGATGTTGGGTGCATTTGCATCTTTATCCGTGCTAAATTAAGGTTGATGTTGAAAGAATTTGGTGGAACTCATCAACAAAATCAAATGAACACACACATGCAGTTTTTCTTCAGAGCCTCCACATCTGTGCTTCATTCCTACCTCCTGCATTTACAAGGTTAACAGGACTTGTGACTGCTTATGGAAATGCTAATTAATTACCCTGACTACGTAACCACATCTTCCTTCTAATGCAACCCAGGCTATCAAGGAGCCCTGTGAGGCCACTCCATCCCTTTGTTATGAGGCTTCACTGCAGATGTTGCCCAGAGGCAATGAAATCGCTATGAGCCTGTCAGACCCAGAATAATCAAAGCCTCAAAATATAACATGCTGTGTTCAGCTCCAATTGAAATTTTCCCCCAGCAAGTTCCAAGGGCTTTTAAAGACCAGATACTGGAATTTGTATGACACAGCCCAGCAACAGGAATAAAACACTCTTGGCCAAGGTTTTGATTCAGTTGATACCAGGATTAGTGTTTGCATGTATCCTCCTCATATTTAGAAGTCCTCTAAAGGGGTAGAAAGCAGCCTTGTCTTTCTCCTTTGTTTCACTGGCCACCTGGCTGCTTGCACAGGCAGTTTTACTGGCAAATTCCAAACCTTGGTTCACTGGGATCACGTGCAAAGTCTCTGACAGTTACTCATCTTGCAGTTTCTTCTTGCAGCTCTTCAGTTATGGCCTTATTACCTGAGATGATGTTTAGGCTTCCACATTTCTGAAGTTCAAAGAATATTTCAGCTGAAAACAAAGGCCTCCCAATTTGTTTTCCTCTTAAACATGCACTAGATCTCCTTAGGATTTAAGGCCTGATCACAATTTCAGGTCTTGCCATGTTCTCAAACTCCTCCCACAAAAAAAGAAGTCTTCTGAAATGCAATTCTTTACAAGTTAAGTATGAAAAATTTTCTGGGTATGCAGCTGAACTGAGCTTGCAATTCACAAAAGCTATGGTCTGTGCCTGTGCCTTGCCATGACTCATGGTCTTCAGAACTGATGCAGGTAAGGAAGATGAGTAACCCAAACCCACAATTTGGAGTGCATGATAATTAAGATAAATAACTAAACATGAAATATATGCATAAGTAAAACTCATTCTCTCCTCTTACCTTTCTGCAGAGAAGCAATACAGCATGGCTTTTTCCAAGTGACTAAGTAAAAAAACAATTTACACTAACCTAGAAAAAACCAGATGGGACTCAGGCTACAAGACAGCTACCTCCCACCGTTTAGCATTACCAACTCGTAGCATCTACATCAGTATTAATCATATAAAAATAGAAGCAAATACAGATTTAGATTATAACAACGCTCTTGAGGACAGAGTTTTCACTTGGGTAGAATAAGAACCTGCCAATTGTCACAGCAGTTTAACAATCCAGAAAATCAGATCTTTAACACTGGACAGTAAACCTCAATGCTCCAATGGTTTCCAAGACAAGTAACACTTCTCCATATAACATCTCTGTCTATCAGTGATTTCTAACATTTGATGAGTGACTGAAGCCAAGACCAAGAACTGACTGATGACAGCATGAGTGCTTGATGCCTTTGCTGTATAGAAAGCAGAGAGCTATTTCCTCTGTCTAGGTTGTATCACTTACAAAAACTACATCCACCATTTCGGGCTAGAGGAAAATGAAATACTAAATCTTTTCTACCCCATATTCTGATGACCCCGCTCAGTGTTTTCAGTGGTACCTAAAAATTCTTTTAATGCACACTGAGCAGGAGGTACCCAGAGAAATGGAGCAACACCTCAGAAGGAAAAGGGGATACAATGCTACACTATCTCCAGACTCCCTCAGTGCTAAAGTTACCAAGGAAAATTGGGTCAGTATTATTGGAAATTCTCTACATCTCTCCTCAGGAGGGAGAACTGCCAGATTTTCTTAAGAAAGTGTCAATATTGCCTATATTCAGCAAGCTTCTTTCTGACACTGACCATCTGGTAAATTATCATCCTGCATCAAGCTTTCCTTTAGTGCTTAAGAAAATGGAAAAGTTCGAGAGAGGCGATTCCTCTCCTAGTAACATGTTGCCTCAGATTTCCTGGTGTTTTGTCAATCTGGGTCATGTCAATCTGTGGCTTTAACAGTCTATACTGAAACATGTTTGCATTGCACAACCTTTGCATGAAGTTTAAGAGACTTGGCTCTACTTAAAGTTGATAAGCACACCAGTCATCTGGTTGAGCAGTACCAGTAAAGTGCTACCTTACCTGGAGAGGGAGTTGTTCTACCCACACGTCCTGAGGTATTTTGGAGGATTACTTCCCTTCCTTTAGGTGTACTTATGTTTTCCTCATGAGCCACTTACCTTCCCTTTGTTAGCTGCTTTCAGTATACTTAATACTGTGTGTGAAGGTGCAGGCTGCCGTGCCTGCAAGTTCTTTTCCCCTCTCTTCCAATTCCATTGATTTGGGCAACTTTCTAACAAAAGCAGCTGGGACTAAAGCTTGTTATGACAGTATTTTTGAAAAGAGAGAGGGGATTTGCTACAGTGGAGACAGCAACCTGAAAGAAAGCATTCTTTTTCATGCTGTAACTACTTACACATTGTTTCTTCCAGAAGAACACAGAGTTTGCTGCAGCACTTTCTATCAATCCTATGAAACTTAGCCCTAAAACTGACAGCAGGCACAGATAAAGTCTCAGACAGGCCCTCTACTTGCCCTTGCACAATCCAAGATAAGTAAACAGTCTTTTGGGAACCATCTGAAAATGGATGACACTTTTGTCTGGGTCAGTTTCCCCTTTTGGTGAGTCTGTCAGTATCAATATATCCATATGTGAAAGTGATTTTACGTCCAGTTTTCACCACTGAGGTGGGATTCCCACATCAAAGTACTCCCCCTTGCCTCAGAACTTTAAAAACATGTTTATGAGTCCATCTGCCCTACAGTAAATGCAAGGTCACATTCAGCAAAGCACTGAGCTTTTGCTTAACATAGAGAAAAGGACTTCTAGGTATACTTAACTTTTAGCATAAGTTTATGTGCTCTGAACTGAAGAGCTGATGAGCTTTTACATAGGAGTAATCGGCACAGGCATCTCTTACTAAACTGAATTACACTGAAATTTTCATTGTTATCTCCCACTGTCACACTTCACCTTCCTTGCATGGGAACATATTCAAGGCAGACACTGGAGACCACAGCTGCACCATGTAAAAGGAAATCAAGTGCTAATAGCACAGATGGTGGAGATATACAAAATGAAAACAATTGCAAGAATAGCCAAGTGCTTACAGCTTCACCTACACTGGCATTTGTAGCAAACTCCTCTTTACAATTCAACCATAATCACAAAAATGGAAGAATTAATCACAATTTAATAGGAAACAGCAGCACCCAAAGAGGGGAAAAGAAGAACATTCTTAGCTTGACTATTACACTCTGATAGTGAGCAAACTGATGCCTTTTCCAGTCAAAATTGAATTAGAAATGGAGTTATAAATCCTCCAATAAGGTAATGATTCATATAGCCCTGAACAATCCTATGCTATTAGTAACCTCAACCAATCAGATATTCACAGATATTTATGCCTGATTTATTTCTCTCTTTCCTCTACAGTATTGATACCTCAGGCATGGTAAAAACTGCAAGGAAGGCCAAGAGCATTCCCGTGTCCTTGGGGTGTAATCAGAAGGATCATGCATGATGAAACACAGCAAGCCCCACAGGCTCTGGTTACAGTGTACAGAGAGGTGCTTTCACAACAGCATTGACACTGCAGACTCAGCTGAGGATGGAAAGCAATCAGTCCTTCCCACAAAGCCAGAGCTCACTGCTGGCTACGGGCAGTCCAAGCAAACATGTCGAGGGGCACAGTAACATTTCCATTTACAGGCACACAGGTCCCAAACCTGGGGCCTTACCAGGCTGTTTCTTGCTCTGCTAACTGGCCAGCAAGCTGCTGCAAAGCCAGCCTGACCCTAGGTTTAACTGCTACACTACAGCAGTGTCAGTCTCAGCACAGGCTCTCTCTGCCGGGTCATGTTTATGATCAAAATACAAAGTACTGGCTGACAGGAGGTAAAAAGCAGGTAAACCTGAGCCAGTATGACAAGTGGTGGTCCAGCTGGGCTCTTGGCCTAGATTTTGTGGAAAGATTTTACAAGGAAAAAAAAAGAGGAAAAATTTTCAAAGAACAGTAGCAAAATCTCTTATGAAAATATAATTATCAAGTACAAGACAGGGGGGACAGAGAGAAAGACGAAGGAGCTAAAGTACTTTCTAATCTCCATATTAGGTTTGAAACCAAGCATTCTTGCTCTTGAAAAAGACTAAGTGTCACTTCAGTTTTCTTCACAAGATGCAGATTCTGAAGCCCAAGGCAAGCACCTCTTGCAGTCCAGTGAACCCTATTTTCTATTACACAACAACTGTTTCTTCATGTCTCCACACAACAATATGAGAAACTTTAGAAAAAGCTTTCCATAGATAAAAGTGTCCAGGATATCTGCTGTAAGAAAGGTGCCTGACCTTTACAGACTGTGTGCACTACCTTGGCCTGCAGATGCAAAAGCCACGTGGCCACAGGACCTGCACTGACCCAGCTCCACTTAGGGCAAGTATTTCAGGTCTTGCTTCCACTGACAGGTTCTACAACACTTACACACATTTTGAGTGATAGCTATTCCACTGAAAATGTGGAGAACTTAACAGATTTGAGTGCTCAGCACTGAGCATTCATTTTCTGGTAGTTTTTCAGGTTAGCAATGTCAGTAGAAAAAAAGAAAATATACATCCATATAATAAAGAAAACAATTCCATTGGGTAAGGTTCTATTCAGTCCAAAGGATATTGCCAAATCAGTCTGCCTATCAAGCATAATTAAAAAGCAGATAACATTTTAAAGTCAGCCTAGCCCAAGCATTGAGGAAAACAGAGCATAAATTCCTTGGCACATGTGTAATTTGCTTTTAAAAAAAAAAAAAAAAAAAAAAAAAAAAAAAAAAGTTATTTCACAGAAGATGATATAGTTACATCTGAGCATTTATAATTAATTTTTGCAACACCATTCAAGGTTGATACATTGCTGCTTCTGAGTCTATTTCCAGCCCAAGTTGGAGTTGGGAAACAAACAGAGCAAACAGAGTAACAATGTGCATATTCCCAACTTCCCACAGGTCAAGGGCAAAACAACTGCTAATGCATTTGTGATGCAAAATTATTAAACTGATTAAATAAAAAGGAGGAGGATTAATTCCATCCTGGGCCTCAAACTCACAGAATTCAGCTACAGGCAAGATTGGGAGATGGAAGGGGAAGTTCAGAGGAGCTTGGCCAGGCTGAGCTGACTGCTTATGCAAGTTACTCAAAGACAGTATCCCTTCTTTCTGAATACCTGCTTGAAAACTGAGGCCACCCAACACTGCAAAATCAGGTCGTAGGAAACAGAACAAGACTGTGTGACTGTCAGAAAAATGCATTAGTTGCATCTACTGTGTCAAAAGGCAATTTCCAATCAAGGAAACAGGAAAATTTGATTTCATATAAAAACAAGTGTCAAATGTTAATGGCTGTAACCTATTGTTTGACATTGTCCTTGCTCAGAACAACCTCATAATTTAATTCTAATGCTATTTATTAACCTGAGCAGTGCTTCCAAAAGCCAAAATGTGACAGTATGTACAGTCCATCAAAAACTTGGGTTTTCTACTGACCCTAGCTACTCTGCAGTCCTACTTCCTCCTCAGCATGTAGTTCTCCACTTGCAAGGGTTCTCCTTGTGCATGGGTCTCTGACCTGAAGCCCTCAGTCTTGCATGGATTGTAGGATACATGCTTCGGGCCAAGTCTGATGAATGAAAACCACCTTTTCTCTATTCCAGCATCAGGGAGGTAAAACCAAGACAAGCTTAATTTGAAAGCAGGAAGTGTAGCTCACCTCAAGGACATCAAAATGAAGAGCAGTAGTTATTCACTGCACCACTTCAGCCAGGACGTTTAACCTGTTTTATTTTAAGTACTCTCCATCCTTTCGGTATAGAGCTGAAGTGTCTTTGCTGGCAATGTGTACATACAGGGAATCCTAAGGCACAAAACCTCCTAAAAGGAGGGAGAAGAAAGAAAGTCTTCCTCAGTCAATCACTGCTATAGGAACACAAAAGGAAGGAGTAAGCATTATTTAACATGAGGTGAAGGTGGCAACTTACAACATTAGCAGGAGGATGCTGCTGCTTCTCTGTGCTCCAGGGTCTACTAAACTTATTAGGTAGGCATCACCACACTAAGAGAAGCTTTTATTTAACTTTTACATGATTGTACAAGAGATGTGTGGCATTATTTCATGGCAAAAAAACCAGTACTGTCAAGACGTTATCATTCCTGACCAGACAGGAATATCTGCAGGGCAATATTTACTCAGAACAGCCAATGATCATGGGCTTAATTTAAGTAAGGGCAAGTATAGGTAAAACCTTCAGTATCCATATCCCAGTTAAGTGCTCTAATCATTAGATCCTTGACTGCTCAGAGGGGGGTTTTGACTTAGAGCTTGGAAAGGCAGTCAACTTCAAGCTATTGTGGGCTGTCACCACTAGAATTATGAAACACAGCAGGTAGCCCACCACTATGTCCTCTGTGACAGCAGCTACATTTACATGTGGAAGTGTTCAGGAAACATTCATGGAGAGAGGTGCTTTTGTTTGGAAAAAGCTTTTTTACATCATGCAGTAGTTATGTGAAAATATATTAACAGAATTAAGGTTATGCCTTTTTTTTTTTGGTAAAAAGCTTTGTAGTTTTCCTAGGCACTAATGCAACTTGACAGCTTTTTCAGAACAAAATTTTCACAAAATAAAAGCTTTCTGGAATGGAAGAAAAAAGGTTTTTACATGCCTGGCCATGAACTCTACATTTTTTGGAATTTTATCCTAAAGCAAGCACCTACAGTGGGTATCGAATGTACAAATCTAAGCTTTCCTCTCTTCTCTGACTTCCTTTGTCCAAGGGAAGAGAGGACAAGAATAAATGAGAACCTTTGGCTAAATATATGAATACCAACTTCCTCTGAAGGCTAATATCCAATTTCCTTATATAGTTCTTTTTGCTTTAGACCACTGGTTTGACCAAACAAGACAGTAAAATGGAGTTGTGATAGGAAGTTATATTCACACAGGGATGGAATTTTAAAATTTTATTTATTTTTTATAGAAATGGAGAAAAACTCAGTAACTTCTGCAATATCATTTGATAGGACAGAAGGGCAGAACAGCATTCATGGGTCCTATTTCAAGTTCTGCCACTGATTTCCTTTTCTGACTTTAGCTAATTCCTTCTATTTCTTTCTGTATCTCAAGTTTCTTCTTGTACAAGATGGATTGAAGCCAGTATTGCCTATGTGCAAAGGTAAGGGGAAAGTGAATCCATGTTCAACATGCTCTAAGGACCTGGGGGAGATAATTAGGAACTCCAAAAAGCATGACAGCTTCAAACAGAATGACAATATCTTAAGATGCTTAAAATGGTAAATTATGCATTGTTAAAGCATTATCAGTTTCAATAACATTTAGAACATACCAAATCAGAGGTTTTCTTAAGGTTTTTTTTTTTTTTGTAGTTTTGAAGAAGCTTCTTGAGTTACATGACAGCTCTTGTTTTGCCAGAAAAACCGCACTGGATCGCTACAGCCTGGAGAAGGCGGGATTCACCCACATCCTCAACGCGGCCCACGGGCAGCGCAACGTGGACACGGGACCGCAGTATTACAACAGCATGACCGTGGAGTACCATGGTGTGGAAGCAGATGATCTCCCCACTTTCAACCTCAGCCAGTTCTTTTATTCGGCTTCCAAATTCATTGATAATGCACTTCAGGATGAAAGAAGTAAGGAGGGTGCTGAAAATGGTTCAAACCGGTATAATATTTACCACAGCTAATTAAAAGCATAGTTCCATGGCATTCAACCTTGCAGGAATGAAACAAGTCCAATACATTTAACAGAGACAATAAAACTAGTAGTAGGGAACTGGTTTAAGAGAAGGCAGTGATGTATTTAGGACCCTTCTCACTAATACCATCCCAAGCACTTTTGTGAAAGTTCTCATCACAGCTTGTATCAAGGGGTCCTGCCTGACAGATTTTTTTGTTGTTTTGATTTCTTCAAAAACACGTCAGACAACTGGAAATTGCCTAGGTGCCATGAACATGCTGTCTTTCCCACCTTTTCCTAATTAGTCCCTGTCAAGACAGGTTTAATGAACATTAGTTGCATAGTGGTGGGAGTAGAACACAAGTGGTCTCAGACATTCCATGCCATCATTCCATCAAAGCTTCACGCTTTGCACCATTAGATTCTCTCTGTAAATATAGAGACCACCCCTCCTACCTGACCATCAGATCTACCCCAACCTGTAACATGTATTTCTCTGCCATCTTCAAAGCAGCAGGGAACTGATACAGCTCTGAGAGCAGTAAACTAGAAATGTTTCATTAAAGTATTTGTAATTTCTCAGCTTGATTACTACAATTCATTATTTGCTGATCTCCAGCAGTGTTCTATCAGAAAGCTTTACACTGATGTGAAGTGCTGCAGCCTAGGCCTCACACTGACTTTCAATATTACTCCTACTCCTTCCCCTCACATACTTGTAAAAAAAATCTCAGCAGGATATTTTAGCAGAAACCAGTTGAGAAACTTAAAACTTTCCTGCTGACCTACAGAGACCTTAATATCAGAGGGTCACATATCAAGTTTCTGTTCTTGGCTGTCTAGATCAGCTGCAGGCAGTTACTACCTGACTTGCTTCCAATAGCCAGCCAGGTCTTTACAATTTTACCCTTTCAACAAGTACAGTCCACACAACAGTCCCTTCCCTTGCTCAGGAGAAAACTTTGAAAGCAGATCAGTTTTAAAAATCAAAGTCCTAATAGCAGGAGAAACTGTTTCAGGAGCTTACTTGCTTCTGAAGAAAGATACCCAGCATTTTAAAAAAATGTGTCTGAAGCACAGTCTTTGGAAAGCAGAGGATAACTAGCACACACCCATGTCTAGCTGTGGCTGGAGGCCAGAGGTCAGTGTCAGACTGGAGTAGCTGGAATAAGAAATGCAGAATTCCTCATTCCCACCACCCTCCTGTTCCCATAAGACTTCAGTCTGCTGCACTGAGGTAAGGAAACAAGCACAAGGGAAGCAGCAAGGGCAAGAAAAAAAGCCTTGCTTCCCAATAAATATTGTAGGGGGAAAGGATGAGATGGGAGGGATATTCACCTTTTTGTTTCAAAACCACATCAAAGTCCAGGAAGTCCTGAGACAGTAGCAAGCACCAGCCTGGAACACAAAGCCAAACTGAAGACCAACAGGGTGAACAAACAAAACAAATCAAACAAAAATATCTGCACTCAAGTAGATACTACAGATGGCAGTGATTTCTGTAGCTGTAGTAATTTCTGCCACATTCAAATGGCTTTTAAACAAGTCAGCTAGGATCTTTTCTGATTAAGACCTACTGTAACACTCATGAAGAAAAAGAGCAAGCTCTTAGCTTTCTCAGAGGGAAAAGTAAAATGTATTATGTACACCTCTTATCCCAGCCAGAGACATGTGTGAAGACACTATGCTTGGCCCAGGAAGACAGTGAAGTTTAAAGCATGACAAGAACTTTCCAATACATATTCACAGAATAGAATGACTCCAGAAGCTAGACTAAAGTGTGGACTGATGCCTCCAATGGAAGAAAAGACTACAGGTACTTAGTGCTCTCCTCCAGCAACATCAATGTGTTATTTGTGAATGCACGTCTAGTGCAGAAAGGTGTTCTGCATTTCAAGTGCCAAATGAACAGGCTAGGCTATATTTTGTACACCTTCCTGACTGACAAAGAGCATCCAGATTCCTGAACAGGATTTTGCGTGAAGTACCCAAGCACCTGTCTGCAGTGGTAATGACATGGGACTTCAGTGTGTGGTGCTAAAATACTTCTGATCAGTAACGCCTTTGCATTGCTTTGCTGCTTTGTATTAGAACTCAGCAAATGCAGAGAGGGGAAAGGGGGAGAAAGGAAAAATCCTCAGCTTGTGTGACCATGTGTTAATGAATTTACTCTGGCTGTATCACGTTCTGGCTGTATCTGGGGTATGACCTTCAGCCAAATGATCAGATTCATTGAATAGATGTCTTCAGATAATGATTTTTGCTGGGAAGATGCTCAACAGTCAGTGCTGTTGAAACAAGTTGTCATTCTAACGAAGAAGGCCCTCTGAAACAGACCAGAAAGCTTGGCAATTTGGATGCTGTCAAAACAGTCCTAATTCTGACTTAACATTTAAAATGTTCAGGATGATGAAGAAACTCCCTGATCAGAATAATATTTGTAGGGTTTAAGCATGGGCTGATGGACATAAGAACAGTTATAAGAGTAAGATTTAGAGACAAACTCTAATGAGTCACAATTATGCATGCTGTCATTCAGCTGGGCATAAAGCTTTCCCAAAACATGCAATTCAGACCATAGAACAGCTAAAAATTTTTATCAGTGAGGCCTGTATAACATGAAAGGAAGACATTCTTTTAAGAATTTTTTAGGTTTCCTACTAAGCTACAGATTTAATACTCATTCCCTTGAAATTTTAGTTCCTCAAAATGTAGTATAGAGGGGAATGGCATTTTCGCTTCACATTAAAATGTCTGGGGAAAATACACTAAAGACAGAGATTTTAAAGAAAGCTAAGTGGGAAGAAACATATGAGAAAATTACAAAGACCTGAGGCTTTTGACCAAAGACCTCAACATTCTTGGTCCAAATGATTCTGGAAAAGTAGAATTTGCATCTACACAAATTTTCAAGAAACACAAACCCCAAGTCAAGTGAACAAAGTATTTCAGAGATCTCACCACTCAGCAGACCTCTGTCTCTGTGCACTGATACTGCATATTCTGGCACACCTTGAAGATAAAAGTGGTCAGAACCCAACACTGCAAGAGCAGACTCCCTTTTGGGGAATGAGGGTTCAGAGTGTCCTTATATTAGAATGGAAGAGACTACAAAATAGTACAGAAGGGACGTGGCTCTGCAGAAGAGTGTCAGTGTTCTGCTGTAACAGGCAGTTGGCTCTTGACTATTCACACACAGCCAAGGACAGACTTCCTTTTCTGCAAACCAGTGGACACTTCAGAAGATTGTACAGCCATTTTTTGCCTTTGTTAACACAATAAGAAACGGTATTTTCTCCTAGGTCTCCTCCATTTGCCACCCACACAAAGCAAAGCTTTCCTTGTCCCATCATGTATTTTATCACCTCAACAGCAACAGATTTACAAGGTGGGAAGCACTAAAGAGAAGCACTGAAGGGCTAAACAAATGCGTCTTTTCATCCACTTCAAATATTTGCAGTAATAATAGAATGGATTATCATTTTCCAGGAGAGGAAGAGGCACTTTTAGTTATCAGAAGGACTGGAATTTTGCCAAGATGCCTCAAAGACTATCTGCTGGGATTAGGATGCAGACTGTAACCATTAATCCTTTAGTGTTGGCAGTTCTTGATGCATCCATTACACAGCAATGCTACTTGTGCCAAGGCACCCTCTTGTGCCTGGAAGCAAAGGAGTTAACAGGCAGGAGCCATGGCTTTGCACCCAGCACTTCTCACTAGGCATAGCTGACAGAGATAAACTATTATTGGCCCTGATAGCACAGTTTTTATTTTTTTCTCCTGTGGCAATTCTGCTTAGCAGGGTGTTAGAGAGTGTGCTCCAAATCTACTTCCTTCAGCAGTTCAGCCTTTTCTGAGACCCCCTTGAGGGCTTTGAATCATTTTTGGAAATCTTTTGAAGTGTTTCAAAACCTGTCAATCAGACCTGAGCCCACTTACTGTTCTCTTCCTCCACCTCCCCCAGATACTGCTAACAGGGAAGGCTCCACTTTGACTTACAACTTTGTTACTATCCAAAGCCAATGACTTTCTACCTCTGGAAGTCCTAAGTTAAGCCAGGCAGTGTCACAGAGTTAAACTGTAGCATGTTTATTCAGAGGTGAAAACTCTTGGCAAAGACTGCACTCACAGGCTATGAGACAGGCTCCTACTGCAAGGAGATGATCATATTAGAACACCCAGATGATGGTGGTGGTAAAACATTATTTGCATTCAACACAACAGGGTGCCAGCCAGAAACTTCTACAGAAGCTTTTCTATATAGTGTAAGGGGTGGTGTCTTTCCACCCCCCGGTTATATCCCTATGGCCTTTTTTATCCTCTGCCCTCCAAAACTGGCATCAAGTGATGATCTCAAAGGACATTATTGCCAGAACAAAAAACCAAAATCAGATTTGGTTACTTTTTGTGTCTAGTTAGAACTGAGAAAGGCACCCCCCATACATTCCATTTATTGTCATGGAAGGATGGTCTGAGAACACACCAAACCCTCCCACACCCTTGTGCTTCGGCTATTATTCCCAAACACAGAATTACATACACACTGTTTGTGAGGCATGTAAGTCAAAGCTGCAGCAGGGCTTGCTATGGTACTCAATGCAGCCCCCAGGCCTTCTCTGCAAGCTTTGTCCACAAATAAAATGATATTTGGTGCAGGATTAAATGGATCAGCCCTATTGTAGATGGTGTTCAGCTGTAAGATTTTTCACACAAGAGAAAACTGAGGCTGTAAGAGAGGCTTATCGAGTGCTGCAAGGGTAGTCAAACACCAAAGAGAGCAGGGGCACTACAGAAACCTTCACTGTCAAGAGGAAAGGATCACCCAGTGTCAGCTCTGATGGTGTCCCTCTGTTTCCACAGGCAAGGTGCTGGTTCACTGTGCCATGGGCCGCAGCCGCTCTGCCACACTGGTCTTGGCTTACCTGATGATTTACAAGAACATGACAGTGGTGGATGCCATTGAGCAAGTGTCAAGGCACCGCTGCATCTTGCCAAACCGGGGCTTCTTGAAACAGCTGAGAGAACTGGACATAGCGCTGGCACTGCAGAGGAGGAACAGCAAGAACAGCCTAGCACCTGCTGAGCAGCAGAACAGCACCACCATCTAGCACTGTCCTGGCACGGCTGTGCTACTGGAAAAGAAAACTCCATAAAAGGAGGGGAGGGGAAGGTGTAGTTAATTACAGAGTCACAAGGATCATTTTTTATTTGCTAGAAAAAAAAACCCAAAGTCATTTCAAATACAATGTCAAGATGAGAAAGAAGGGAAACCAAATTTGAAACTCCTCATCTTAGAAAGTTCCAGCCTTAGCAGAATTCTTTGTTACATCAACAAATAAGTTTTTCTCTCTGCAAAAAACTCCCAAACATTTACAACACAAAAGCAAGCATAACTTAAAACTCTCTTCTAGCTAAGTATCCCCAAATCATGATCCTAACTCAAGCCCACAGCCTTTAATGGAGTGCAGATAGCACTCCTGAAGAAATCTTGCAGGAAAAACACTGAATTGTTTAGTCCAGAGTCCTGAAGGGTTTCACAGGAGTTTGTCTTTTTGTGCTGTTTCCTGGCAATTTTATTTCTTTTTTCACAGTGATAATCCAGGGCAGCACAGCAGTTAGAAAGCCTCTACATGAGAATCAACTACACCATGAGCATTTGCTTCACAGGCAGGAATTCTGTATCAAATGATAAACTAAAAACTAACAAATATCTGTAATGTTTGCCCTTTGTCAAGCTACAGTTGTCTTCTTTCTTGTATCCTGCATGAAAGCTTGATGACTGCTGTAACTGAAAGAGGATTTGTCATCGATTCACATGCATAATTGATCACCCTCAGCACTACAGAAAATTGCCAGGGCCATTCTTTCTATTTACCATGCTGATAAAAAAATGGAGTTTGTTTCCATCAACCACCCTTCCAGATGGACAAACTAAACAGATTATAAAACTGAGAGACACAGACAGTGATCTAACATGGAAGATAAGTACCTTTAGCAGTCCTTCATTTCTGCTTATATCAGAGATTCTTACACTGTTAGTAAAAAACTGGTTGCATTTTGCCCACTGCTAGGGGATCAGGCAGCCTGAGCGTAACAACACTTACCATTCCTGTCTTTGCTAAGGGGCTGAGTGCAGCTTCCAGGAGAAGTGGCATTAGGCAGCTTCCAGATGTCCTGCTCCAAAGACAAGTATCTTTCCTAGAACCAGGTCTTGCCTGAAGGACTCTGCTGGCACAGCTGTGCCAATTAAGCAGTTCTGAAGTAAACATATTTTTCATTTACTTCCCAGCTTTTTTTGCCTACTGTTCTCCTAGAACTAATGAGACTAAATCAGAAAAGCAGAGCTTCTAGAACATGTGACTTCCACAAAGTGAGGCAACTCTTGCAAGCTGCTAATCAGCTGCTTCACAAGTGTCAGCACCAACTCCAGCTACAAGCCAGTTCTGCAGGAAACACACACACTGGACAAGGCAAGTTGATTTCCTTCTTGCCCACCACGAGTGGCACGGAGCATTCTGTAAGAGTGCATGCCTCCTGACTTTTACAAGAATCATCTACTGCAATTCTGTGAAGAATTTTTTGAACACAGTAAAAGCAAGAGCTCATTTCCCTCTGGGATAGTGCTAGAGCACACAGTCAGAACTGACACTGCAAGGTGCATACAAGACAGAGAACAAGAACATCTGTCAATGAAAAAACAACCTTCTTATTTATCAGAAATTTTAGTGCCATAATGCCATTCACGGCTAAACAGTTGTTATGGGAAAAGATGTAGAATAGTCCCTTGTCCTCCTGAAAGGAATTAAATTCTGAAATAACAAGATTATATTGGAAACTTGCCTGCTGTGCATACACTATGCATCATTTCCCAACCAACTCTTAACCCATATATTGTAAATACAGAATTTTAGCAATATGCTGGAGTCAGGATGCTGTTTCAGCTTAGCAAATATCTGAAATGCTAAGGTTTGATTTGCTTGTATGTTACAGGCTTCAAAACTTGAAACTGAACAGCAGCAGATAAAGACCCAGGTGCCTTTTTCACTCACTGTGAAGTTACACAAATGAAAAATCACAAGACATAAAGCTAAGCACACCTGAAGGCTGCACATAACTACATCGAGTTCCACTTTCCTTTTCGTAAGCATAAAATGGCAAGTTACTTTGTAAAGATGAAATCAGAGTTTAAGTACTAAGAATACTCTCTGCTTTCAATCAACAAATTTGACAATTTAAGGGCATGAACCCAAATCTTTGTTGTATGGTGCTCTCCTTATCAGATGTTCTGAACTCCTAAAACACAAGTTACTCCAGATTACCATTTGATCAGCAACTTAAGCTCTCATTCTCATTCACTATCTTAGACTGCTGCTCCATTGTATTAAAACTCAACAGGTCATGCACGTGAATCTGTAGTATCAATTTCTTGATTTGGTACCACCACACAGTAATGGTTTATTTAAAGAAATACACATTTCTTTGACTTTAAGATAAATGAAATATTACCTTTAAAGCTGTTTAATATACTGGAATGGGGACAGTTTTCAGTCAAGATGGCCACTCCGTTCACCTTAGCTAGTAACCTTACTGCAGTGACAGTGGCAACATTCATATTAGAAGCATTCTGAAAAATTATTACAGGGACTTTTTCTGGTGCAGGTTCACACATCCCAAATTTGAATTTGTCCACTCATGAGATCCACATATAGACAGCCTTCTTGTCTTTAACAGACCTTCTATTGCTACATGAGAAGTGCTCATCTCTAAGTATGTTTGTGTGTGCCCACATACACGCATATACACAGAACCCATAGACTTAATGCAGAATTTGCATCATCTTGTCACCCAGCGACATTGACAAAGGAAGATATTACAATTCTATCATGAAAATACAGTTCAAACACCATGTCTGTTACTATCATATATCCTTTTATATATATATATTCACATCTTCTGTAGGAAAGAAGTTTCATACATTAAATATTGACAACCTCATAAGGTATTAAATACATATTTATTAAATATTTTATTAAGATTATTAAAAATAATAATCTTAGGTATTCTTTATTTTCACAAGGTGTATGCAATTATGATGAGTAACCTACACTTAAGCTCTAAACAGCCTAATCCAAACCCCACCAACTGTAATGGGCTTTAGATCAAGCACATGAGAGCACTGTAACAAACACTGTTTCAGGAGGTAATTCCCATGCAACATCAAACTATGACAAGACACAAGAGGCTAAAAATGGCTCATCATAATTTATTTTATGTTAAAATGTACAGCTTGGGGGAGGGGGGTGTAGTTTTTTGCAGTTTTTATTTTTGTTGCTTGGTCGGGTCTTTGTGGGTATTTTTTTAAGTGACTGACTAAAAAGATAACAGATAAATACAAGAGTGTCACTGGGTCCTATTTTTACATGTATCAAGCCTCTTCTGTTCGGCCCTTACAGTCACTCTGTACAGGTACAAAGGCTACAAAAAAGGAAGCAATATAAACAGACACAAATAACTTTTGCCTTTTTACATGCGATCTGTAAGCTTAGTTTGCGCTATTCACACGCTACTGCTCTATTTTTTCCCTTAAAAAATAACTCCAATATTTTATAAAGATAGAAAAATCTACAGATGGAATGAAAATGTAAAGTTAGAGGCATTTCCATAAAATAGCAACTTTACACCAAATTCACTACTTTTTTTTTTAAATCCTGCCAAGTATTTGGACATATACGAAAATGTTTCAAAACTTGACAAATAAACACTGAGATGTTTCAATCAACAAAAAAACATAAGTTTTTATAAAACAGAAAGCTGCCTTTTTTCCTACCCAGCCCCAAAGAAACTGGTCACAAAAATGGAAAAGAGTCTCAACTTTACACTAAACATACAGCAATAAAACCCTTTGAACTAACCAAAATGTGAATAGCTTTTGCAGCTTTTTTTATTATTTTTACAAGTTTTATAATTAACAAAAATATAGTTCTGGTTTTTTTACCCCTCAAACTAGGGTAACCTAATCAAGGCAAAAAAATTAAGAAATGGCTTACTGTTAAGCACAACACTTGTACAGTACTACAAAATGCACTGTCACTAACAAAGACATTAGCGGCATGCAGAAGTGTCACCTTCAGAAACAAAATAATACAATAAAAGAACTGCTAAAAGGCATTTACATGTGGGGAAAGGAGAGAGAAAAAGCTCATGATCCAGTACTGTCTGATAGTTTTGGAGTCTATTTATCCACATTTTTAATGGGAGCAGGCACATAAAATGGCTCTGAACCATCAGCTGCTGTGTAATTGCAGTTCATAGAAAGAGTTCTTCCTTTCCAGAGAACTTCAAGCTCAATGAAATAAACAAAAAATGTAAAACCACCTAATTCCCTCCAAAGAGAAGTTAAATCTCACAATGTTAAAAAAATAAACAAAAAACCCCAAAATGGAACAAAACAAAACCAAAGGGAAAAAAAAAAAAAGAAAAAAACCCAACTAAGCATGAAATAAAGAAAAACTTGTATAAGGCTTTCTGCTGCATACAGCTTTTAAATGGTGCCAACAAATGTTTTTGCATTCACACCAATTGCTGGTTTTGAAATCGTACTCTCCAAAGGTATTTGTGCAGATCAATCCCATACGCCAGTTTGGTAGCGTCTCTCCCACGGGCCTACCTTCTCATGTAGGATCCATTGAGAGACTGTTTGGACATGCCTGTGTTCATGTAGCCGTGGTGGCCCGGAGGAGTGTACATCATGTTACTGTGGGGTGCTGTCTGCATTGGCTGCTGTGCATATGGCTGAGTTCCCATCATTCCCATCTGCATCTGCATAGGGTACTGAGGGGTTTGATTCATATACCCATGATTACTGTGATACCCACTATTCATCATTGGCTGGGACATACTGTAACCATTCATAGCATTAAGGGTATTCATATTCATGTTCACTGAATTGACATTATAAGCAGGGGCTGGCATCAAATTTACACTCATGTTCATGCCACGCTGCATCGTTAAGGTCCGTGCGGGCCCTTGCATGGCCACAGTCTGTGAAGCTCGCCCATAAATTTGGGGCTGATGGGCTGCAGCAGCAGGTGGCAGAGGTGTGGATTTGGTTCTTACAGAGACGTGACCTTTGCTGGCCATCTGAGTCTGCAGTCTTTG